CCTCAATCAGCAAGACAGCAGTACCCGTTTGGGAAGTAAGTAAAAAGTTGGCACTTTCCCCTGTAGATACAGTGAGGGAGGGAGAGGACTGCTTCCACCTGCAAATTGTGTCTCCGAAACTGATGGTAAAACACCCTAGGGAACTGTAATTACAGTAAGAAGTGTACTTAATGAGCAGAAGTCTTGGTAGAAAAAAAAAAGTCTTTGAATAAAAGGCTATGAGAAATGGCAGAGCACAGGTTTGCCCTCCAAGCCCCTCTGATTGCGGTTAAAAAGGTCTGTTGATGTTAGGAGTCTGTCTTACATCAAAAGAAACAGCTATACTCACAGGAACAGGTATTTCTGCAAATTCTCTGCAGAAATTACAGATCAAGACATGTTTGCTTTCTGGAATATGAATTCAATTTGCCCACACAAGGATTGGGAACTGAAAGGACACACGATGTCGGACAGTTTGTCCAATGTAAAAGTAGATCCCCAGAAACTCTTGGATGTCGAATGCTGTCAGGATGACCGATGCTTCCATTGGTGTTCAAGAGTAGGTTCCTCTATAGCTGTAGATTGGAAAGCCAAGAACGGGATTACTTTTTGAAATCAGGCTTGGGTAGGGTGGAGTGATGGAGTGAACCGAAAGCCTCTTCCTGTAAGCAAGTCTTTTAAAAATCACCCAATGGTCACATGAGTCATCAGTACTAACATTCATGGGTGTAAGCCCTTGGTTGTATAAAATTGTGTATCATTAATTAGAGTGAAGAAACCGAGGTTAGCTTAATCTAAATTAATTCTTTATTTGGTTAAAGGGCAAGAATACATATCTTCTGGCAATTTTCCAAAATCATCATCAGCAAGACAGTAGTTTTAGAGATCTTAAAGACATAAATAAAATGTTTAAGTACTTTAACAGAAATTAAAGCATAGCCAGGGACATGAATGTAGACTCTTGACTCCTATTGACTTCAGTGAGTTGCTAATGCTCAGCAGCCAGACCTTGTTGTGTGATGGGATCAGACCCTCCAAAGGCAAAAGCCAATAAGTAAATTGCCACTGAGTAGACACACTAATGATTAGCTCGTATTAATGCAGTTAATAGCAAAGCAATTTGCAAAAGTGCTCAGGATCTATTTGTCTGGAACTTTTGAGGTGAATTCTTGAAAACAGGCACCCAATTTCTTTGAAAATTAGGAGGATTAGGCTCACAGAAAATAAAAACATATATAATTCATCCATTCTCCTTAAGACAGAACAGGTACACTTTAGCTACTCTCACTCAGTATTTGTCTACCTTGCTTTTAAAATCTTGTTGAAAAAAGACCCACCTTTTCCCCAGTTTTTACAGTTACAATATTTTTTCTGATCTGAATCTCCCTTGTTATGATTTAAATGCTGTACTCTTGCCCTATATATCCTGGGGTTTGAGAATAGTATATTCCTTTAAACCCTGCAGTAAGATTATACCTTTTTTTGGACTACTTTCTTCCAGGCTAAGTAAGCCCAATTCCTTGCATCATTTCTTTGCTGCTGCCCCAGAAGGAGTAAATGTCACTTAATGAGTCTGATCACGTCTCTTTATACAATATTTCTATACACCTTTTGTTTTCCAAAGGCAAGTAAGTGAGGAGCAGTAGGAGTAGATTGGACAACACTGCTATGAACTGATTCAAATCTCTGTCAGCCCCTGGAGAGTTTAATCACAAAGTATTGTGTCCTGATGTCCTTTCCTCCTCACGCACCAATGCAAACATGTATGTACACTGCAGACTCAGATGCCAGGAGCTTCCAGCACTGCAGAGCTGCTGCCTCCCTTGTTTGCTGCCATTGTGTCTCTCCTGGCTCAACCCTTATAGCAGATTTCAACAATATGGTTGGAGATTTGGGCTTGGTTCAGGACTTGCCTGCTAGCTGCTATCTCTGATGTTTGGTTGCTTGTCACAGAAAGCAAACAGGTATTACTGGTGCATGATCAGATTGGCTTTAAGTGTTTGCAATTAATTATTAGCAAAAGTGATTTGCTGACTAAGAATGAGAGTACTATGCTCATCATTAATTGCATTTCTTACTGCATTCACTAATGTAGAAATTTACCTCACTCAAACTTTTCCTTTATAATGTGTTATTTGCCTATTTTCTGATTCTTTTTCCATCCCTTCCCATGTTTTCAGTAAATTTCAATCTATGTATGCAAGACTCAGAATCTTCAGCTGCAAAAAAAGACTTAGATAAAAAGAGAATCCTTTATATTTATGAAAAGCAACCAGTGCTCTGAAATACTGCAAAGCATTTGAGCTCATAGTCTATATTTTACAAGCTAACCATGTCTCAGTAAGGAAATTTACAACCATACTTGCCTGCCTGATTTGGCACTAAATGAAGTTAATAAAAAATCCCAACAAAGTAGAGTGGAAATTCTAGCAAGAGAAGATATCACACCCTCTATATTGCTCTGTGTGGGCCTACCAAAGTACAGATATTGTTAATTACTTTTGCCTTGGGTGATCTGATTCATTATCATTAGCTCAGAAATGGATGTGAGCTCACTGGCAATTCCTTAGGAGCAAAAGAATACAGACCTTTATTAACACATGCAATTCTTGCTGTCTCTGAGGACTCAGTTCTAATAGTCTGTTTCAATGTTGACACTTCTAGGCTAATCAGAATCTCACTTCTGCTTCAGTATGTGCACAAATAACTGAGATTGCCTCATGCTGTTGTGCCAGAAGGTGCTTTCAGCTATGGCATGGGACAGGCAGGTTTACTGTCAATTTGAGCTGTTGGACAATGTCCATTCAAAGAGCCCAGGGATATGCTCTCACACGCTGTTGGGTTCCTTCTTGGTACAGCGACATCTGAAGATCCTAAATGAGAACTAAGATCCTTTGAGACAGATACTTTATGGACACACAGGAAGAATGATGTCTTCCTCAGAGAGACAGGAAAAAGGAAGAATTAATGTCTTTTTTCATGACAGGGAACTGATGTATAACCCAGAACAGTATGGGGATCATGGAATACATGTTGATTGCACCACACAGTTTGATGCTATCCACAGACTTGCTGAGAATGTTCTTGATCCCACCATTTATGTGATGAAGATACTAAAGAACACTGAACTCCTGAGGGACACCACTCATCACAAGTCCAAATCCCAACCAACACTGAGCCATTGACCATTTCTCTCTGGGAATGAGCTCGCAATCAGTTTATTGTCCATCAAATCAGTCCACCATCTTTCCAATTTGTCAAAGGCTTTACTGAAATCCAGATAGAGGACATTAGTAGTTCTTCTCTTGTCCCAGTTGTGCCACCATAGAAGGCCATTAGCTTGGTCAGGAAGGAATTGCCCTTGGTGAAGACATGCTGGTTATCTCATATCACCTCCCTCTCTTTCATGTGTCTTAGCGTAGCATCCAGAAGGATCTGTTCTATGAACCCTCCCAGGTAAGGCTGACAGGTTGGCAGTTCCCTGTATCGTCCTTTGAATCCTTCCTAAAAACGGGTGTGACGTTGCTTTTTTGCAGTCACCAGTGACTTCACACGACTGCCATGACTTTTCAAATATAATTGAGAGCAGATCAACAAATCAAGCTTTTGGCTCCACAAAGGACCACCCAAAATTATTTGACAGTTGTCCAAATGCTTCTTGAACTTGGGCAGCTTGGAACCGTGCCCATTGCCCTGGGGAGCCTTTTCCATGCGCACCACCTTCTAATGCACCTTCTAACCTTTTCATAAGAGCCAGCTTGACCCTCCATACATTCCCTCGGGCCCTGTCACAGAGAGCAGAGCTCAGCACTGCCCCTCTGCTCCCTGTGAGGAGCTGCAGCCGCCATCAGGCCTCCCCTCAGCTCCTCTGCTCTGGGCCAAAAAAAACAAACAAGGGACCTCAGCCACTCCTCACACACTTTTCCCTCTAGACCATTCACCATCTTCGTAGCCCTCTGCATGTTCTAGTGTTTTCATGGCCTTCTTATACTGTGATGCCCAAACATGCACACAGCACTAGAGGTGAGGTCACACCAGCTGCTAAGGGACTTGTTCCCCTGTAGAAAGTGCAGTAGAGCAATTGATCTTCACTTTGTCCTGAACTTTTCTTTGATGAGACTCTGACAATTACAAGTGACAGAAAGAGCCCAAGCAATGTCAGGCCATTGGTGACTGCACCACCTCATCTCGCCACGCTCATCTACCTGCCAAGAACTTCTGATGAACTCCAGAAATTGTCATCCAGCACAATGTATTGCCATGGGGTTACTGCTGTTGAAGGCAGTCTCCTCAGCAGGGCTAATGGCTATGCAAATGATAGAGTGACACCAAGGAATTAAATGTCTCATGGAAGTTTTTGTTATAAAGTGTCTCCTACACTTACGAGAACCTGAGATGAGGACCAGAAAAGCAATGACAGCTCCTCTCTTGCTCCCCAAGGGTGCCATGTCTGCATGCCCAGCACTCACACTGCTGTTTCTGCACTGAAAGCACAACCCTGGATTATCATTTGCCAGCAGCTGTCTTATATGGATATGCTTGGCTTGATCACTTGTACAGTCAGCCTAAGAATAGCTTCCTCTTTAACATCTGATTTCTCTTAAAGGATAAAAATAAAACAATCAGAGCCTGGATATAAAAGAGCAAACTGCTGAATACTGCACCGCATGCCTCTATGTTTAATGAGGGAAAATTTTACTTTATGAGGGGCCCAAGTTATTTGTATCTACCATATTTGGTCTCTAGATGAGAATCTAGGCTGCCACTTCTTGGTCTGACAGCTATAAGTGACTTTTCATTTTAGAGAGATGATGATCCTAGATGATTCAGCTTTTATCATCACCCTGGCGTGCTTTCAGCAAATGACTACTTTAATTCTGCAAGTCAATGCCCAGGGACGATCACAGCCAGGATTGTGCCTGAATGGATCTATAGAGATTCTGGGTATGCTCATTTCACCTCAAGGGCCAACTATAGACCTTGGCTGATGTTAGACATAGCTTGAGACTCCTGAGTCCTTATCAGGCAGCCTAAAAGAGATGCTCTGATTAGGCATGCAAAAGTGATGACATTTCTGTCTAAGAGCAGTGTGGCCAGCCCAGTTTAGGCTGCCCAGTCTGACTGCCTTCACTGCCAGCACAGGAGAGGAGTAGTTTCAATAGAGAGTGGAGAGTTACAATAGAGTAGAGAGGAGCAGATACAATACTTAGTGCAGGTGCCTAAAATGTAGACTATAAGCAGCATTTAGTCTCTTTCCTTCTCCTCTGCCTGTTTGCTGAGGTCAAGATGCATTTCTCTCATACGGACTCCTCACAGGATATCTGCAATATATGGTACCATTTATGAAACAATATAAATATATATTTCTTTTTAGAAGCAAACAAACAAAAAATACTGAACACTCTAATTAATGGGAAATCAAATGCGATCATCATTTTGCCCATGATAATCGAAGTGAAGGAATCACCAACTGAGAAAGAAATGATGAAGTCAGGATAATGCCTTTTTTAATTTTTTCTTTTTTTTTTCACTCAACAGGCCTACAAGACCACCTGAATAACATTTTTCCTGATTCAAAAATAGCATAGAATGTGCTGGAACCAGACGTGAATCAGCATGTATGCTAAACAACACAATTAAAGCCAAACCTTCAAATATTTGCTGAGGGCTGCAACACAAAAAATCTGAGTGTTCAGGCAATACCGGTGCCAGACTCCTGACAAAACCTAGCCCTGAAATGTTCCCTGTGACAGGAACGATGACACAAGTCAGTGAGAGTACTGAAAAATCATCAGCAATGTAAATCTGTGACATAAAGAAGCCCCAAATCAGTTCATGTCATAATGCTATGAGATGGGTGTGTAGATATACTCCTCCTCACAAGCTAGGAGTGGAGAACATGATACTTTGGGATTTGATGCTCATGACTATGTAGTTGATGCCAACAGGAGGAGGTCCTAACACCTCTGATATCTTTCAATCAAGTCACATCTTGTCCCATCTCACCACAAGAAAAATACAACTAATCTTACCATCTGCATGGTCTTACTCTACACATTCATCACAAACGCTCAAGCAAAATTAACAAGACTGTCCAAGAGGAGGAGAAGAGAGTTGTCATCATCTTTGCTGCATGCCCAGGGCACCGAGCCATAGATGAGTGCTTTGCCAGACGTCACACAAAGTGTTTGTGACAACACTGGAAGCTGAGTGTCCTCCTCATGAGTCCCAGTCTGATGCCCTCTACAAGGGTCTGACTGTTCCTCTCGAAATGCATTATTTGGCAACTCAGTCTAAGTTAGCTTGATTTGGTCTGGTAATTCTTCCCCCATTCTTTCTCTCTCTCTTTTCTTAATTGCATTTGATTTTTCTTCAGAAGAGAATTCTTTTCTACAGTCATATTTTTATGGAAATTTTAATGAGTTGCTTGGCATTACATTAATCACTGAAGATTTAAAGTGTCTTTAAATTGTATTTTCCTTCCTCTTGAATGCCAGCCACACATTTTTGTTTACAGTGAAATTCTAGGGAAAAAAATCCTTCAGCCTATTTTCCTCAGTGCTAATTGGGGATTTATTACTGCTTCATTTGCTTACAATTGAGTCAAACAAAAACCTCCATCCCTTTTTTATGGTGCTGCTAATTGGATTGAGTGGGTTATAATGATATTACTGTATATACATAAATGAACATTTAAAAAATAAATAAATGAATATTAAAAATACGCCTCTAAGGACTAAGTGGTTGCCTTCATACTTTTCTGAAGCAGATTTTATAACTATTCTTACATAAATGTGCACTGCTCATTTCTGCACTCTGATTAATACAGGAACCAGCAGCCAAAGACAGTACTACTGGAAAGATCCAAGGAAAGGATTTGCCAGAGAGACAAGGAGGCTGAAGTGTCTATTCACAAGAGGATTCTCTCGAAAATTCAGCATACAATTTCCATGAATCCCAGGGAATGCTGCAGGTCTGGGTGCCTGTTGGATACGATGCTGCAGCTGGCATTATAGCTCACTGCTTTGAGTGCCCACAGAAGGGATAACAGCCTTTAGCTGACCAGACCAATGCCTCTCATTAGTTATAAACTCAGCGTTTGTTTTGTGAAAACTGCCGTTTAAAACAGCTAAGAGATGCCAAAAAACCATTTGTCATACCTGGTGGACATTTGTGGAAAGCATTTGATATGATTCTTGTCAATATAGCCAACCAAAAAGTATATTGCTTACATCAGGATTAACTATTAGTGCTGATCTCCAGTTTTCTCTCTAGAATGCTTTTTTTTTAGGTAGAGTTTTTCTTTCAGCAGATGTATTTTTAAGGAAAACAAATTTTCTATGTTCGTGGTGATTATTTTAGTCTCATTTAATTTCTACATAATCCTAGTGTTGACCTAGTTATATAGTAGCTTTAGGGCAAACACCTGATAAAGATACTGGACCTTTATGAGTAGAAAACTGCCCATGATCAGCTTCCTGTTTTGTATAATCCTTCTTGTAGTAACTGTAACTGCACTGCAGCTATTTCATGGGCAGTTAGCATCAAAATGTGGACACAGAGTCATTGACCACAGCTCTTTGGCTGCAACCATCCAACAAATTCCCTATCCTCTGCAATATTTACCCTTCAAATCCGTAGCTCTTCAATATAGAGATAAGGATGTGGTATGGGACTATGTCAAAGACCTCACAGAAGTCCAAGTAAATTACACTGGTTGGTCTTCCCTTGTCTACTGATGCCAGCAATCCATTTTAGAAAGCCACCGAATTGGTCAGGTACAAATTGCCCTTTGCCATGGTGAAGCCATGCCATCTATCTTGGATCATCTTCTTGTCTAAGGCATGTACCTTCTCATTGCCTCCAAGGGAACCTGTTCCATGATCTGCTCAGGCACGGAAGTGAGGCTTGCTGCCCTGCAAATCCCTCTTGTGCTGGAGAGACAAGAACTGGACACACTACTACAGATGCAGCCTTACCAATGCCAAGCAGACAGCAAGGATCACCTCTCATGTTCTCTTAGTGATTCTTTGCCCAGTGCAGCCCAGGATAGGATACCATTAGCTTTCCTGGTAGCAAAGGCACACTGTTAACTTATTTTCAGCTTGACATCTGCCAAGACCCCCACGTTCTTTTCTACAGAGCTACTTTCCAACTCAGTGTCATCCAGCATGTACTGGTGCCAGGGATTGCTCCTCCCTAGGAGAGGAACTTTTCATTTCTCCGTATTAAACTTCATGAAATTCTTACACACCCATTTCTCCAGCCTGTCAAATTCACTCTGGACAGCAGTATGACGCTGTGGTGTATCAGCCATTTCCCCAGCTTTGTGTTATCTGCAGGCTTTCTGAGAATACATCCTACCCCACTGTTTAGATCATTAATCATTTGAACAAGATTGAGCCCAATACTGACCCTTGGAGCACACTACACAGCTATAGCTGAACACCAACTAGACTTTGCACCACTGAGCACCGATGTCTGAAACCAGATGTTCAGCCATTTTTCAGCCCACTTCGTTGTCTGCCAATCCAGCCTATGCATCAACAGCTTGTCTGTAAGAATCTTAAGTGGGATAATGTAAGAGGTCTTACTGAAGGCCTTCTTCTAAATCCCAGGTACTCTGGGGATGGCAAGGAAGGTACTTAATCTTTATATAGATTTAATAGAAGAAGAATCTAACACCTGAAGAAGAAAGAAGACAAAGGAGGAATTTGGAGAATACTAATGAAAATGGTTATTTCCTATTTCTCATCACACAGATTGAAACCAACAACTGACATGTTCAGACAGTAGATTTAAAGCAAACAAGTGAAACTATTTTTTTAGAAAGGTCATAACAAAACTTCCAACTTACTGCCACAGGACATAACTGTACATAACAGTGGAAAATTGTCCAAGTGGGGTTCCACACAGTTACAGAAGATATGGGAATCTGATAAGAACAATGATCCTGATGAATACTTTGGCCCAGACAGTCAGATTATTGCCTGCTCGACAGTAGGAGGAAAATATTCCCTTGGCACTCTCAGTGTGTGAAATAACCTTTCTCTACATTTCCCCTGTGTCAGAGACAGGGTCGAAACCAGTCAGGTCTTTGCAATCATTGTTCTTTTGTGTGTTCTCATGTAGTTTTTATAGTTTTTATCTTTAAACACAGTAGATGAAGGACACTCTGTTGAAGTTTGTTTAAATCTAAAGGTCTATGTGAGGAACTATTCAATTCTGGTCTCATGAGACAAGTACTTTTTTCACTGTTGTTTGACCTGATTATTTTTTATTTTTTATGTATTTTATTTATTTATTTTTTTTTAATGATGTAGTATATTTGTCAAAATGTACCTTGAATATAAATGGAGAAATAATGTTGAATAAATTACAAGAGGATTAGCTTCATTGGCTTTGTTTGTAATTTACTATGGAATTTCTAGTAGAGAAAATCTATTAGTGACACTTTATATTTCACTGGAACAGTGATCTAAATAAGATGTAATACAGCACATTGAACTTTTATGTACTTACCTGTAGTTGCATAATAAAACATGAGTTATGACACAAGTGTGCTTATGCACAGTAGTTAATAATCACTCATGTCAGTTTTAATAACATGCTGTGTAGAAAGATGCTGCCTGAGTGTTTTTAAACATAAAATATATTTAACGCAATGTTCACATATTAATCCCCTAGCTTGACACCAACTTATTACTAGGCCCTTTTGCCTTGGATACATACACAAATAGTTGTTTGGTTGTTGTAGGACTGCTTATCATAAATGCACTGAATTCTTTTCCATCCATGCTGAAGCATTTATATGAAAGCAATTACATACATCCATATTTCAGAGCAGTTCTGAGAAGCAAAGCTGTTACACCACATCATGAAGACTGGCGTGCCCCTTGGCCCTGGCTTAATCCTCTCTGATTGTAGGTGTCTAAATGCTTTTGTATAGGGAGCAACTCTGCAGAGAAACTTCTCTTGTCAGTGAGTGACAAGAGCTGAAGGCAACTGCTGTTCGCACTTCAGCCAGACTAAATTGCCTGTAAAAGCTGTCTTGTTGGCCCTATGAACTCAGAACTGAAGGCAGCAAATGGGGAGGAGTAAACTTGGGATCACTACATTTTCAAGGCTTTGCTTCTGACTATATGCACCACCTTGATGAACCTAATGCTAGGAGAGATTGGCAATGATCGGTCCACACATGGAACAGCAAGCTTGTCTGGACATCAGCTCTGTTTCAGAGTTTAGTTGTGGTGCTGAGTATTATCAGTGTATAGAGTCCTGCTTAAAGGCATCACTAACTGGTCTTGCAATTGATAATGAGCGAACCAAATGGGATATAGGCTCTCTGTAGAATTTCCACTGGGCCATACCTTTAGTTGCTAATGTGGATGGTTAAGGACATCCAGAACAGATTCCCCCTTTTTCCACAGTCTGGATTGTTTCTGCAGTGCAGAGCTATAGGATCATCTGAATGAGCAGGTATTCCTGAAAAAAAACACGGGCACCAGCTTTGTTCTGCATGACTTTTTCAAAAGGCTCTCTTTCAAAGTGGAGTCATACCACTTAAATCCTCCGTACTTCAAAAGAAATAAACTTTGTACAGACAGAGAAAAGAACCTGAGAAGGCCATAAAAATAAACAGTGTGATTCTATTGACTGGGACTCAAGTCAATGAAGTTCAAGCTGGAAATATAATGCAAGTTCCAATGGTTCTGTTAAATATTTCAAGTAGTTAACAAGCACAATGTTTGACAGTAAAAGAGCAATATGCCTTTTTGACATTATGCATTGAGTTCAGCCATGCGTTATGAGGATGAGATGAGGGAAACCATTGAGTAAGGGTCTGCATGATTATAATGGCTCATCTACTTGCTTTGAGTGCAATTCATTCAGTATAATGACGACATTCCTAGTGACTTCAGCAGGGCTAAGATTTCACTCTGTAAATTTATTTCTCTGACCAGCCACAAGCCTTGACCAAAGCATGATTTGATTCCTGAGCCAATCCAAACTGAGCATAGCTATGAATAAGTGCTCGAGGGCAAAAATTTAACATGTGATTGAACAACTAATACTTACAGCTTGGATGAGTCCACTGTAGCTGCTGAGATCACTACTGTTGTGTGCTTCTGCTCACCAAAGTATTGTGTTT